TTCCGGTATCACGGCCTTGTTCCGGTATCACGGCCCTGTTCCGGTACCACGGCCCTGTTCCGGTATCACGGCCTTGTTCCGGTATCACGGCCCTGTTCCGGTACCACGGCCCTGTTCCGGTATCACGGCCTTGTTCCGGTATCACGGCCCTGTTCCGGTACCGCGGCCTTGTTCTGGTACCGCGGCCTTGTTCCGGTATCACGGCCCTGTTCCGGTACCGCGGCCCTGTTCCGGTATCACGGCCCTGTTCCGGTACCGCCAGCCCCGCTCCGGTACCGCGGCCCTGTTCCGGTATAACCGGTCCTGTTCCGGTATCACCGGTCCTGTTCTGGTATCACGGCCCTGTTCCGGTACTGCGGCCCTGTTCTGGTATCACGGCCCTGTTCCGGTACCGCGGCCTTGTTCCGGTACCACGGCCCTGTTCCGGTACCGCGGCCCTGTTCCGGTACCGCCGGTCCCGCTCTAGTACCGCGGCCTTGTTCCGGTATCACGGCCCTGTTCCGGTACCGCGGCCTTGTTCCGGTACCGCGGCCCTGTTCCGGTACCGCGGCCCTGTTCCGGTATCACCGGTCCTGTTCTGGTATCACGGCCCTGTTCCGGTATCACGGCCCTGTTCCGGTACCGCGGCCCTGTTCTGGTATCATGGCCTTGTTCCGGTACCGCCAGCCCCGCTCCGGTACCACGGCCCTGTTCCAGTACTGCCGGTCCCGCTCCGGTACCGCGGCCCTGTTCCGGTACCGCGGCCCTGTTCCGGTATCACCGGTCCTGTTCTGGTATCACGGCCCTGTTCCGGTACCGCGGCCCTGTTCCGGTACCGCGGCCCTGTTCCGGTACCGCCAGCCCCGCTCCGGTACCACGGCCCTGTTCCGGCACTGCCGGTCCCGCTCCGGTACCGCCGGTCCTGTTCCAGTACCGCTGCTCCCCCTCCGGCCCCGCCGGTCCCACTCCGGTCCCGCCGCCCCCGGTCTCCGTTACCGGCCCCCGGGGATGTGCTGGGCCTGTCGGAGCGAGCCCAGAGGAGGCACCGAGATGAGCAGAGGGAAGGATGGAGCGGCTCTGCCGTGAGGAAAGGCCGGAGAATCGGGATTGCTCGG